GTCAAAGCCGTGCATGACCCATCGTGCTTTGAACTTGTCGATCGTTCCGTCTGCTTTCGTCTTCACACGGAAGACCCATTTTCCGGTGAGTACAGTCTTGTTGTGTGCCACTCCGATGGGTACTATTTTCCAGGTGTTGCATTCTTCCAGCGCCTTTTACTCTCTCTCCATGGCTTATCGCCACTTTTCCCTGTGCTCCCCCCCCCCCCAAAACCTGTTGAACGGTGGCAGGCTCGTTTGGTGGCGAAGCCCTCTGGACGGCGGTGATGAGTCCGAGTATTTGCAGCCCACTCTGTGTGTAGCGAGGGAGATTTGGGTCCTCGAGATAGACTGCTTCGTCTCCCGCTTCTGGATCAGGTAAGAAGTTGGGGCCTATGCGTTCTGAATCGTTTGTGTTGACTGGTTGAGGTGTAACGTAACCGATGTCCGTGAAGTGGTAGTAGACTCGGCGTTGACACTTTCGCGAAGGTTGTCGTCGTCCATCAGAACGGGTATCGAACAGTAAGGAAGAGGTCCGGCTTCTTCCGATGCTCCGTCTGCGTTTTGCTCGTCCCAGTCAGCCTCATCTGTTGCCGAAGCGAAGGCCCGGTTGCCACGAAAGCCGCTCGTGGGGTCCCGTTCTACTGCCAGGTTGTCCAGGTATGTTTGGAGGGTGAGTCGTTCATAGAAAATCACGTCACGTGCTGCTACTGTTTTCTTTGAGTGGACGTCGAAGATTTTCTACGCGTTGTAATGCTTTTCGAAGCCCAGGTGGAGTCCCCACTGTGCGCGTTGTGAGAATCTTCCGGCTCGTGCAGTGTGTGGTCAGTACTGTACCATGCAGCCAAAACTCGTAACATTTTTGTGTTGCCCAATTTTCCTGTCCACAGCAGATGCGGTGATGCGTTGTTCGGGAGCGATGATGACGAGAGCAAGTTGTGCAGCAGCACAGCATTGTCCATTGCCTCGGGCCACTGATGGTTGGGTAGCCGCATGCCATATAGCAGCTTGCACATGGTGTTCTGGAGGGTCCTTTTTATTCTTTCCGCCACACCTTGCTGCTGATGAGCAGATGAGTCGCTTGATGCCTCTCTCCGCCAGGTACTGCTTGAAGCGCTGTGACTGATATTCTCCTCCCCCGTCCAACTGAAAGCTTTTCAGCTTCACTCGTGATTCCCTTTCTGCTTCTCGAAGCCATGCGACGAAGGCTTCGAAGACCATGTCGCGACTCGGAAGGTTTAGATGCCAGACGTATCTGGTGGCGGCGTCGATGAAGGTGACAACGAAGTTGTAGGCTCCTTGTCCGCTTTTGCGGACATATAGTATGTCGCTGTAAACTTTCTCTAGTGGTGCGTAAGCTGGAGCGCTCGGGTTATGGTGAGAGGCGAACGGCTGATGGGGTAAGTCGGCTTCAGGGCAGGTAAAGCAGGTTTCGCGGACTCGTTGAAGTTCTCTGCCGTCGGGTAGGAGTACTGAATCATTATCGAGCACTCCTGCTTGTGTTGTTCAGTGTTGTGTTGCTTGGATGCCCTAACCTCTGATGCCATAATGATTCGTCAGCGCGATGTCCGGGTGAACGTCTGTACAGATCGGAGTTGTAGTAAAAAACGGCAATGATGTTGGCACTTCGGTGAATGTCCCATGGGGCGGGAGTCAACTGTTGGGCGGGCGTTGGTGCTGGTATCGTTGTCTCTGCTTCTGACAATGTTGCCGCTGCTACTATCGGTGTCGCTGCTTCTGCCGATGTCTCCGCTGCTGCTGCCGTTGCCGCTGCTTCTGTAGTTGCCGTTGCTGCGATCTCTGCTGCTGCCGATGTTGATGCTTCTCCCGATGTTTCTTGAATCACTGCTAACGCCCTTGTTCGTTCTGCTTCAGCCATGGTGTGCGAGTACCAGAATCCTCTAGGGCTGAAGTCGGGGTCAAGATCTGGTGGGTGTGACCAGGTGGCGAAGTTGACGATCGCGTCGCTGTCAGCGGTGCCTTGATCTGGAACGAATTCGAGGACGAAGACGTTATTCTTCAGGATTGCCTTCTCGATGTAGAGTCTGCCCTTGCCGTTGTAAAGCTTAAACTCTTGAGTGGTGCTGTCGGCTTCGAGGTGAATTCCATTCGCCGTGAGTTGACTGACGCTGAGTAAGTTGTATCCAAGTCCTTTTGCAATCAAAACTTTTGACATTTGCAGGATAACGTTAGTTTCTTGGAATTGAAGTTGAACTACCCCTTGTCGTGTGCGCAGATTTTGGTTGTAAGCGACGGTGATGACAACTCCGCGGTTAAGGCGTTGTTCCCGTTGAACGAAGCAACCTGAAGAGCACATGTGTTGTCCGCAGCAGCTGTCCAAGAACCAAGTATCTTTCCCGGATGGTTTGCTTTGGGCGATGGTTGCGTACGTCGGATTTGGCTCCAGTGATTCGCGAGGAGGCGTGCTCTCGTCGAGCTGTTCTTCGGGTCAGTAGTTTGGTGGTGAACCGGTGATGCCGGAGTCCATTGTTCTTGTCATGCAGCTTATGATGTTTCTTGTTCCTCTTGCAAGTTGTGATGTTGTCGTTGAGGACGATGCTTGGTTGGAAGGGTGCTGTTGTGTGGAGGCTACTTGGCTGCTTGAAGGTCGGAGCTGGCGTGGTGGTGTCGATTGCTGTTGATTCGGGCAGTGAACGCGGGAGTGCCCTGATGTTTTGCAGAGGTGACAGAACGGTGGTACATATCTCCGCGCCTGGTGCTCGTGTTGTCGGTTGTTGTTGTTGTTGCGCCGTTGAGTGTGAAATGCAAACTCTGGTACTGATGCCTTCTTCTTGTGACGTTCTTCATGCAGGTCCATGTTTTGTTGCTCAGCGTGGATTTTGGCACAGAGAGATGCTTCAGAGATTCTTCCATGAGCTCGGAGGATGGCTTGGGTGGAGCGCCACTGAGGACCGAGACCAGTGATGACGACAGTAACGAACGCTTCTTTGGAAATTGACCCGCCGCTTCGAAACAGTCTATTTTTATAGTCACAATAGGCTTGAATGTGCCTAAAACGAAAGATAGAGAGCACAGACGGATTTCTGCACAGCGGCTTCAAACGTTGATAGCGTTCTGCTCACAGCTGCAAATGACTTGATTCAAATTGGATCTGGAGAGTCTTCACGTCGTCTACAATTATCAATTTAGATTGCACGATTTGATAAAGAATTGACGACACAGCGTCGGTTTGAACGAACGGTACTATGGCAGCCACTATAGTCTTAGAACACAAGATAGGAAGAGTTACGAGTTGGGAATGACTCCCAGCTCCTACAAACCCCAAGAGCCGAGGTACAGTGATGTGGAACAGTGCCACACTGTCCCCAACCACGAAGGGTCTCGAAACTACCCTTCACTAGGGCCTACACCAAGTGAAATGTTACACTACACAAAGTAATGTAACTATCTTCAATATCTTGAGGTGTACCCTTTTGGCGAGCTTCGAAATCACTTGAGGCTTGACACCAAGGCTCGGGCTCTTCATCACAAACTCATCCTTGAGTTCTTTATGGGTCTGCTGCACACACCTGCGACACGCCGAACGTTCGACACAGGACAAAATAGAAACCGCGCACGACAAAATAGAAATCGCGCGCGAGACACAAACGACCGCGTAACACGCGTCTAGCGATAACTCGCTATTGACTCGACACACACACTCGACATCATGACTCAACATTCACACACAATTATAAGCATGAAATATATATTATCCCATGCCCTCATACCATTCCATACACACACACATTCACGCACACGGACAACAAGCCGAGTGCAAACCGTAGGGTTGCACCAACATCTATCGCACAGACCGCGGCAGCGACTGATATATGCCATTCCTTTTTCGCCGGGTTGCATTTGCACTGTTGTCAGTTGTGCCATGAGATGACTCTAACTAACTCTGTCGGTTGCCTGATACAGGTTCTTCAAGTGGTTGTACGCGAGCTCGGCGGAGTTGCTGTATCCACGATAAGACCGAATATGCTGCTGCTCGTTGCCGTTATGTTGCGCAGGATTATGGTGTACCCCATCTGTGACAGATACGTGTACTGCTGCTTGTCGTCCTACGTTTTGTGCGTTGGGTTTGGCAGAGAACCGTTGAAGAAGCCAAGAATTTGAGCGCCTTCCATCATCAGCTCAAACTCAACTGACCAGGTATAAAAGTTATTGCCGTCGAACGATCTTGACGTTTGTAGTTTCAGAACGTGTGCAAACTGCGACTGTATTTGAAGTGCATACAGTGTCTTTTCTTGTCAAGGTGGAGGCTGGTTTGGCATGAAGCTGATGGAGCCGCGTTGAGGCTCATATGGTGCAAAGGTAGTTTGCTGCTGAATCCCGTGCGCAAAGGATGAGCTGTCAAGACTCATGGGGGTAACGCCGTTGTTGAAGGAGCTGTTGTTTGATTGCGCAGGAGCTGCTTGCTGGTGTTGTTTGTAAAACGACATTGCACATTCTCCTACAAGTTAGGCCAGTTACGGTAGAAGCGGACTTTTCTTGCTAATCTGGCCTAAGGGGAAGTCAATCCTCCTCGTCTGACTCAGGCTCCTGGCAGTTGTTGACCCATAAGCCATCGGCCTGGATCTCGTCGACATCAACCTCCGCTGTTAGCTGGCTCCTCCGCTGCGCTATCGCCAGCTTGTCCTCGCTGCCGTCAGTGCTTGCTGGTGTTGTTTGTCTAATATTTGTGGAGTTGGACGTAAGCCCTGGAAGCAGGGCCTCCGATTCGTTTTTGGCCTGCCTGATTTGTTAGACTTGTCAACAGTTTTTGTCTGAAATTGACAGAGCCAGATCTTTTAAAAGTCTGAAATTTCAGAGTCACAATAAAAATAAGTCTGAAACGTTCGGACTCAACCTCACTGAGAGTCTGATTTGTTTGTGATTGGCCTTTGTTGAACTACATTAGATTGGCCTACAACATTTGACATTAGATTAGACTAGCCCTCATCATTAGACACTTGTAGTAACTACGTTAGGTGCTCTACATCCTTCCTTCCTACCTATCTATGTAAGTTATCCACCTACCCATCAAATCCATCATCGTCATCACTGTCAGGCGAATCATTATCCTCTTCTATGTCTTCTACTTCCATCACCTCGTCTGCCAGCTTGGCCTTGTTCTGCTGCTTTCCTGCAGGCGGGAGTGGAGCGTTGCTGTGGGGCTTGCGCTTCTTGTAGGCCCTCCAGATTGTCACAATCTCCTCCCACTTGGGCTCGTAATCCATGAGACTCATGCACATGAGATCTCCGAGCCGTGCGTCCTTCAGCGAGCGTCTCTGCCAGGACTTGATAATGTTCTGCCTGGAGAACCCGCGCTCGCACTCCATGGTGCTCAGCGGCAGAACAGCTACCGCCACTCACATAAGCACAAGGTTGGGGTCGTTGTCCCGCCAGTCGGGTGTCTTGAGCATGGCTGTGAGCCCCGCGTGGAACTGCGCTCGCCCTTGGTAGAGGCTGCTAGCACCGAGGTGAACATGCGCAACTCCTTCTCTGCACGGCGCTTGTTGACTCCCAACGGGGTTGGGAAAAGGATAAACAAAAAAACATGAGTAAACAAATATAAACATACATTGAAGCGTAGCACATGACACAAACAGAGCAACAAGGAACGATACAAGGACCCCACAATAGGCTTACCTGGCAGTATCTCCTCTGTCTCGGTTGCCTTGAACAAAGTCACCAGCGACTGTAGCCACTGAAGGCACCTCGTTCAGCGAGTACTTGTCTGGGATGAACAGCTTTACCCCAGACATCCCATCAAGGTCGCCAAGCCGATGCTCGAGTTGGTGAACGATCACCTCTGCGAACTCCGTGCAGACCTCCACGCAGCCATCGTAGGTCCCGGGCCCTTCGAACTCCTCTAGCTCATCCTCATGCGGCCTGAAGGTGAAGCGTGCAGGACGGCCGTCCGAGTCAACCCCTTCAATCTTCACCTCCCGGTTTCCTCCTGGCCCATGGCGCGCGATGAAGGGGGACAGCAGCTCGCTCACACCGCCACCGAAGTTGTCGCCGCAATCAACGTAACGGCTCTCGATGTGCGACGTTGTGCGCTTAATCTGCACATGCACGCTGGCATAGTCAAGCTGGACAGAAACAAGACAGACGGTAGTTAGTGGCTGTTGAAGCTTAACACGCAGGATTATAGCAGAATGCCCACCGTACAAAACAAAGATGACGGAGGTGAGCATGCGAGAAACTCACTTTCTTGTGGTGGAACGCCCTGTTCAGGATGTTGAGCTGCTCAAGCACATCCGCAATAAAGAAAAGAAGGAACTTAAACTTATAACTTGTCACAAGAGCATACAGCCTGGCGTCCCACTCCTTCAGCATCACGATGAGAGCCGGAAGCACAGCGACAAGCCTGAGCACTGCGTCGCCCCGTGAAAGCCAGCGGACGGAATGAATGCCTTGGAGCTCCAGAGAAGTGGACGTGAAAACCTCCTGGAGCCCCATGAACCATTGGTGCCATGGCCCTGAACGGCCGAGATGCTCTGCCACCCGGCGAATCACCATGTTAATGACATTGAACGCAGGAATCTTCTCGGCGGCTGTTTTAGCCGCCAGTGCCTCCCTGTACAGCAAAGATAAAACATTAGTACATCAGGAAAGTCAACAATATGAAAAAACGCACGGCAAGTTTTCTCAAAAACAGACATACCTGTACGCGATACAGTGGGATGACACCAGATGGGGGATGCGCAGGCGGAGGCGTGTGGTGAGGTTAGACTTGCTGCCCATCATGACGTTGGCACCGTCGGTGCTGATCCCCGCGATGCGCTGAAGGTCGACCCGACTACCTACAGATGTGACAGCAGAACACTCAGAAGAGAAGCGGCGTCGGCCTTCTCCACCGTAATTAACGTCATGAACTCTGTGACAAGCTTTCCGCTAAACCTATCCGTGCTCTCGTCAATCGCGATGCCGACGAACGGCGACGCCAGCACGTTCTCCAGCTGGGTTGTCTGGAGCCATGTCGCAATCGCTTGCGTCAGCTCCCCGAAGCCGTATCTGCACCAGAAACAATAGGGATTATTCTTTAGTAAAGAAATAAAACATTGACTTACCGATGTGTCTTAATTAGCTACCGGCAGTTGCACTCACATGGTGAAGTAGGTGCGGTACCCCTTCTTCGGAAAGTCGGGAACGCCCTTCTCCGCCAGGTAACGCACCAGCTTCACCCACATCCCCATGGGCACGTCGGATCTGCTGATGAACAGCAATGAGTCGAGAAGGGCGACGACCCGGGACTGCTCTCCGTCCACTGCAGCGCGATGCTGGTCAATCTGCGGCTGCCTCGCACCGCACTCTTGCACAGCAGTTTGTCTCGCCATCGCCAGCTTGTGCTTCGACGTGCCCACGTGCTTACAAAAAGTCTGGGTCTGCAAGTCAATGGCGCCTTTCCCGCGTCTCCTGCACTTGCCTCCGTCGCCAGCATGAGCTGCACAAACAGTACACTTGAAGGCAGGCAACCCCGAGGTGGTTTTAGTGATTTGAAGCCAGGGGAAGCGTGCTTGCCAGTGATTCTTGAACTTGTCAATTGCATCGTCGTAGAGTCCTTCAATGAGCTCGGCCATGTTTATGGTGAGGCGAGGACGCGGACGCTCAGACGACCCGTGCGAGTTTTTGACGTCGGCAGACGAGGATGAAGGCTTGGCGAAGCTCAAGGTCGCCTGCTTGAGCCGGATGGTTCGGGACGTGGTCTCAGAGGGATGGTGCGATGCCGAACCGACGTTTGGTTCCGCAGATGTCTCTGCCACAGGGTCGGGATTAGAGATCGCGGGTGCTGAAGGTTCCTTATGGGAGATGATAGAATCGGGCTCGGCGCGTGCTGCCTTCTCGAGTGCAAGATGACTGAGCAAAAAATCTAAGCCTGTTAGGGCAGGCTGTGAATCGGGGTTGTCGTCATCGCAGGTAGCGGGATTGTCGGGCAGAGCCATGGCGGGGATCTGAAAGAGAGCCTGCCGAGCAGGAACAAGAGGACAAAGAGGCTGCTGAACTGGGCACTGGATGGGCCTAGTGAGTTGAAGCTGAGCTGAGGGGTGTGGATGAAACCCTTGCTCGTAGAAGAAGGCCCTATAACACACTCTGGGCCATCCATGAGTTGGGTGGGTGGTTGCCTAGCATGCACGGCAACAACGAGGCGCGTCTGCCGTGCAATGCTGTGAGGAATGTTTAGTGTGTGGATGTTGCAGCATCGTGGTACACTATGCTGCCAAAAGGACCAATCAAATGCTCTGGGTGTGTGCCAACATGTCTTGGTGGCACCGTCTGCTTGCCATCACCTTTACGTGGGTGGCATCTTGGACAGGGGTGGTGGCGGAGTTCGTGATGGCAGACAAAAGCTGCCAAACGCACCAATCAGTGAACAGGGAGGGTGTGAGCTGGAGCTTACACGGAGGGGAACAAAGCCACCGCAAGGCGGGTGAAACATCCAGCTGTACGAGGGAAACATAGGGCTGCAGGGCGGCGTCGCCCAAAGAACATGACAGGTACAATGTACCACCACTAATCCTGGGTGTCGGCGCAAAGGTAGAATAAATCAAAGCTCGTACTCCTTTGTACTCTGAATTCAACAGAGTACACTCCCGAAAAAGTCTGACATTTCAGAGTCAGCTTATAAAAAAATCTGATTTTCACAGAGTTGAGGCCATAAAAAGTTTGAATTTCACGGAGTACCAGTACACCTGAAAAAAAATCTGAAATCTCAGACTTTTTCAAGCAAATCAGACAAAAAAACTGACTTCTGAGAGCCTGGCTTCTAGTGAATTGTTAAAAAAATAACCAATAATGTAAACTACATGTATAGAAGATTAGTGTGCTTATATAAGTCACTAAACCAAGAGAATGCGCTTATAAATGAGGATCGGCCATAAACGCATTGCTCCAGATACAAGCGCATGTGCTTATCATAGGTTTGCACCCGGGGTGATGCCGAAAGAAAAAATGAAACAAAATTGTGGTATGCTTCGCAGCACACCATATATAGTGAGTGATCGTTACAGAAGTCCTAAGGCCAAACGACCATCCTGGACATCATTACTATCCTCTTGTACTCAACAGTGCCATGCCGTGCCCTCGCCACCAAGCCCACCTCTACCGTGGCCGCGTTGTACCCTGCTGGTTTCCTGCGGTGTTAACCTGTACCACTCTCAACTCATTGCTCTGTTCACTGTACAGGTGCCTACCCCCCATCAGGCCCCTCCATGCCGCCCATGCCCGCCACCTGCCCGCCTTCAGGATACTCCCCCACATGCCCCATGCCCAGCGGCCCATTCGGCATGCCTGCACCCATGCCCCCCCGGCCCACTTGTATATGCGACTGGGGCTGCATGTAAAGCGTCCCCATTGACCCTCCTCCCATGCCCCCCATTCCCATGCTTCCTCCCAATGTCCCCCCCATGCCTCCCATGTGTGCTGCCGCCGCCGCAGCAGCAGCCATGTCATGTGTGTTGGGCTGTAGTTCTCCTGCTCCTCCTGCTGCTGGGCCCCCTGCACCACCCATGCCACTCCCCATGCTCTCCATTTGCCCCATTTGCCGGTACTGCAGGGCTGCAGCCATGTTCGAGCCTGCCACACCCGAACCTGGCACACCTGGGCCTGGCATGGAGGCTGATGCAAGGCTTGGAGGAGGCATGGGGTAGAGGGAGGAGGGCGCCGTGGCCATCATGGCAGCGGCGGCTGCTGCCTGGGGCGCCATCATCATGGCAAGAGGGGGGGACGGCGCTGACGCATCCGTGCGCATGGCAGGCATGGGGGGCGCGTGGCTGCCCATACCCATGCCGCCCGCACCTGCTGGCCCCCCCACCATCCCGTTGCCCGGTGTTGTTGCTGGCCCCTGTCCCATGCCTGGCGCTGGTAGGTGCGCTGCAGAGACTGCGCAGCCCCACCAGGGGTGTTGGGGCAGGGGATTGGGAGGAAGGAAAACGGCAGAGGTTGAAATTAACACTCATGCATGGGGACCATTTGAGGGAGGGAGGGATAGGAAGAAGGTTCAATTGCAGACCAGCAGGTGTGCAGGAGCCGCCAATGAGCACGCGTATGTGCTGGCAGCATGCATGGGGGCGCGTGGCGGCGGAGTGGTATGGGGCGCTTCCATGCTGGCGCCAGTGAGCACATGGGCAGAGCAAAGCGGCAGCGATGCAGGGAGGAGACGGTGGTGGGGTGAACGATGAGGCCAGCAGGCATGCCGCAGGCGAAGAGAGGACTTACCAGGGAAATTGGGAGGGGAGGTGAGACCAAAGGGGAGGGAGGCGAGGAGGCGCAATAAAAAGGCGTGGGGAAATAGGGAATGGCAGCACAGCATACGATACGAGTGACGGGCCCGGCACTCCTCTCCCCCAGTGATCCACTCACAGCTGTCCATCTCTCTCTTGATGCCGCCGTACCCCTGACCGCCCACACCTCCGCCTGCACCCGCACTGCCGAACGCGCCCGAGGCGGCAGCGGCGGGCAGCATGGAGGGGTGCTGCGCGCCCACCAGCCCCGCCATGCCCGGCAAGTACGACGCCGCCGCTGCCATCTCCGCCGCCGCTGCTGCCTGCGCATGCGCTTGCGCTTGCGCCTGTGCAGCCTGCGCTTGCGCCTGAATCTGCGCTTGTGCCTGCGCCTGCGAGTGCGTGAGGACGGCGGAGCCTCCCGCCAGAGCGCGCAGGCGGGAGATTTCCGCCTGCGACATGGCCAGCTCCGCCTGCAGGCGCACCACCTGGCGGGGCGAGGGGCCGACGGTGGTGGGCGCAAGGGTTATGGGGAAAGGTGCGCGCACGGGTCAGGAGCGATGGAGAGGCAAGGGACGACGGAATTAGGTATCTCGTCAACGGACCACCTTTTCTCGGCGCCCCCTCCTGCCGGCCCTCATCTTCGGCGCCTGCCCTGCGCGCTGCCGTTCCCTATAACAGCGGCGCAAGTACGCCGCTTTCACCGACAGATTTGCGCCGGGCGGCCACGAAATCGGCGTGATCACGCCGGGGGGTTAGGGGAATCATGCGGGGTTTCCGAGCGAGCGAGGCGGCTTACCTGTTGCTGCAGCGCGAAGAGCGCGCCGACGCAGCCGTACACGGGGTCGCTGATGCGCGCCTCCGCCTCGTACGACAGGCTGTTCACCGCGTCCTCGCGGCTGGGCGGCGGCAGCTCCTGCAGCAGCTTGCCCACGTTGCTGGCGCCGAATATCCGGTGCACGTTGGCGAAGCGCAGGCTCTGGTCGGGCGAGAAGTACGCCGCGAAGATGCACGTGCTCGTGCACTTGCGCCGCAGGAACTTGCACGCGCCGCACGGCGACACCGACGACGCCGCCGCCCCGCCAGCGGAGGCGCCGGAAGCTGCAGGGGCGGCGCTGCCTGAGAGCGTGGGCGTCGTGGTTGCAGACGACGGCCCGCCTGCGCCGCCGCCGCCGGCACCTGCAGTTGCGCCGGCGGGGCTCGCCACTGCGCCCATGGAAGCGCCGCCGCAACCCCCTCCGCCTGCACTCACGGGCGCGCCATTCTGACCCCCCAATCCTTCCCCTCCGCCGCTCCCTGCACCGCCAAGCTGCCCCGCCGCCGCTGCCGTGGCGGAATCGAGCATGCCCTCGGGCGCGCACGCGGGAAGCGCATGCCCCTGGGGTGCAGTGGGGGCGACGGGCTGCCCAGGGTGGGTTGCAGCGGGGACGGGGAGCGCGGCCGGCGGGAGCGGCGGCATGTGCGGAGGTTGCGAGGCGGAGAGCGGGGCGGAGGGATTGAGGGCGGGCGAGGAGTCGATGAGGAGGGAGTGGCTGCTGGGGACGGACGTCATTTGCGTGTCCATGGCGGGGGGCGCGACGACCACGCGCACGAGGCGACACGCGGAATGGCGATGGGTTCGGGTGCGATGGTGGTACTGGCGATGCGGATCTGCGGAGGTGCGCGGAGCGGACTGCCTGCCCAATGCGACGCGCGCCTCGCACCCGACGGACAGGCAGCCCTGGTCCAGCGACGCAACGCCCCGCGCCGTGCGCGCTCCGCGCTGCAGCCGTCGTGCACACCGCGTTTCGCGACGACTGGCGAATTCGAGACAAGAAAGAAAGGATCGAAACTGTCTTCCTACCGCGGACCCTCTGATCTACGTCGCTCGAGGTGGAATTCCGATCTGCGGGCTGATGCGCGCGCCGGAGTCCGGCAAGGCGGCAGAATTAGCCCGAAAATGGGGTCTTGCGCGAATGGCTTACATAATTGCGCCGCCGATGGGGAACTCCTAGGATGGACGGAACCCCACCAGGGGAGATTCGATTGCTGCACTATTATACTCGAGCCATCATCGCTGAGCAGCGCGGTTGTAGGACCGTACCATACTAAACCCGATGATCGCGAGGAGACCACCTTGGCGACTAAAGACGAGCGACCGCCAACAAGAATTTGCGAGTGTGGTGTGGTGTGACGAGGAAGAGGGGGTGACTGGACATGGACGCAAGAATGGGGTAATCTGGAAGCGCGCGGATGTGGTGGCCAGCGTGCTGATTGTGTGTGAGGGTGGTGCTGCGACGAGCGATGCAAAGTCGAGACTGGTGTTCGCAGACGATGGTTGGTGCTCGGGGATTGGCTACACTCGGAGCAGAGCGACCTGAACCTCAGCTGATGCTGAGGAGGACGTTCGCATGACTGGTGCGATGACTACTGCGACAAAGGTTTCTACACTCCTTCCTCGGTCAGCTGCGCACTCACCACACGAGGGAGAGCAGAGCATCCCTCCGCCTTGCGCCATCTTTCCTCTTGCTATGTTCCATTCCATCCTTCCGCATCGCGAAAGCGCCGTTCGCCCAGATGGTTGATCTGGGGTTACCCTGCCTCTGAGAAAACCCCCTTGGTTGGTGATTGGCGACCATGTGGCGATTTGCACAGTGGATCAGCGCGCCGAGCTGACGAACAAGGGCCACACGTGCATGAAACGGAAGAGGTGAATTTTGAATTCTGCCACCAAGGCATACCACCGGTACACCACCACCACCACCAAGCACGACCAGCGCAATTGCTTCGCTGTGCACCCACCCCAGTACTCCACAATTGGAAGAATTGGCGAAATGTGCAATTTCACGAAGTCTCACCACTTCAACGTTTTCGCCGTGTCAAACCCCATCTGCGGCAAATCCATTCCATCACTGACGAGCTGCACGGCGCTATTGGTGGATTTGTGTGGCACGTGGTGTGCTTAGCAGATCGTGGCTTACCATTCACGGAAGCCAAATGGCAAGCCCTAGCTGTTCCGATCTTTCCTCGGAATCTTGTTGGACCAGCTACCGCAATCGATTGGCTAAGGGTTGATGGGTTGACAGCATTTTCGGAGCTTTGTTATCTAGCCATCGAACAAGAGCATAACTACGATATATAGCAAGGTACAGAGACAAACTCCCCACAAATAGAAAATAACATAATGTAAGGGGTGTGTGTACTAATAAAGCGCACAACAATCTATACATGCAGGGGAAACACCTTTCTGAGTCATATCCCGGAAAAGGAGTCATTTTACGTGGTGAATCATTGAGAATGTATCCTGTAGTGTACAGAACAAAGTCATGATAAATCCTGGTACGAATAGTAAAATTAAGAAAAACGCAATGCACTCCTAACAGCAGCAAACGAATCATACACTTCTAATGTTACGATATGAAATTCAATGAGAAGACATTCCTATATGCTGCATGATCCGGCTCTACCGAGTACGAAGTTGAGGCGTCAGAAGAGTCGAAACGATAGCAGCAACCGTCAGACCAAGACCGATGCAGGCACAAACATTTGAAATGAAAAGAGCGGGAACAGGTTTGAAACTGGTTCCCGCGCCGCACGCTTTAAACCCGGGAGTACATGGTGTCAAACTTATACTCTACAGTTGGTTTAGGCTGTAGTGGGGTAGTTACGATAGGGTACAGCAAGTTTAGTTTTTCCTAATTGTACCTGTCAGAATATTATTGTATACATCACTTTATAACTGCCTGCAATGTAGACTTAGTGCAGTTATCTTGCTTGTTAGGTGGTGCACCTTGCTTCTCTTCTTTCATATTTGTACCCTTGAACCTATAGTGAAACCCTCATTCTCCTTTACAATTTTCTCGACACTCTCCTCACCCTCGAACTTAACTACCAAGGCTCCTAAGCTATGGCTCCCAAGCCCACCTAACTCTACCTACTACTTTCACATGGAATCAGAGCGACTACGCTCTTGGCCTGTGGGCCCCACGTGCTTCCGCTGCTTTCTTTTCTGTCGCGCGCCCCGTGGCGCGCGACACTTTTTTCTTCCCGCCACGCGCTCGGGGCGCGTGGCGGTTTTCCGCCCGCCGTGCGCCCCGGACGCGCGGCGTCTTCCTGCCCCGACGCCGCCCTTCTCGGCCCCTCACGGCCTCTTCGCGGCCCCGTCGCTGCTCCTCTCACGGCCCCTCGCGCTACCCTCAGTGGCCCCGTCGCCACACTTCGCGGCCCTGTCGCCGCCCCATCTCGGCACCGTCGCCGCCTTTAGCGGCCCCGTTGCCGCCCCTAGCGGCCCCGTCGCCGCTCTTCGCGGCCCCGTTGCCGCCCCTAGCGGCTCCGTTGCCGCCCCTTGTGGCCCTGTCACCTGCTCGTCGCGGCGCACCCCCCCTTGGCCGCCGCCTCTGCCTCCCTTGCGCCCGTGCCTGCTTTGCAGCAGCGCGCGGGCCTGCCTTGCAACAGCAGCCGCCCCTGGAGCAGCCACCCCAGCAGCAGCCGCCCCAGCAGCAGCCGCCCCTGGAGCAGCCGCCGCTGCAGCAGCCGCCCCTGGAGCCGCCGCCCCTGGAGCAGCCGTCACTGCAGCAGCCGCCCCTGGAGCCGCCACTGCAGCAGCAGCCCCTGGAGCAGCCGCCCCAGCAGCAGCCGCCCCTGGAGCAGCCGCCGCTGCAGCAGCCGCCCCTGGAGCCGCCGCCCCTGGAGCAGCCGTCACTGCAGCAGCCGCCCCTGGAGCCGCCACTGCAGCAGCAGCCCCAGCAGCAGCCGCCCCTGGAGCAGCCGCCGCTGCAGCAGCCGCCCCTGGAGCAGCCGTCACTGCAGCAGCCGCCCCTGGAGCCGCCACTGCAGCAGCAGCCCCTGGAGCAGCCGCCCCAGCAGCAGCCGCCCCTGGAGCAGCCGCCGCTGCAGCAGCCGCCCCTGGAGCCGCCGCCCCTGGAGCAGCCGCCACTGCAGCAGCCGCCCCAGCAGCCGCTACCCCTGCAGCAGCCGCCCCTGAAGCGGCCGCCCCTGCAGCAGCCGCCCCTGGAGCAGCCCGCAACTGCAGCAGCCGCCCCTGGAGCAGCCCGCACCTGCAACAGCCGCCCCTGGAGCAGCCCTCACCTGCAGCAGCCGCCCCTGGAGCAGCCTGCACCTGCAGCAGCCGCCCCTGGAGCAGCCCGCACCTGCAGCGGCCGCCCCTGGAGCAGCCCGCACCTGCAGCCCGTCCCGTTCCCCCCCCCCCCGTGCATTCCGTGGTGCTGGGGGTGTGGGGTGCCGAGCATGGGGGTGGCGGGTGTGGGGGTGGCGGTTATGTGTTCCTCCCCTTGCTCCTCCTCCTCCCTCGTCTCCCACTGCTGCAGCTGTCGCTGAGGGGGGTGGGTGTGTGGGAGCCTTGGGTTTAGGGTTTAAGGGGGATGCTGTGGGAGTGGAGCTAGGGTTTGAACAGGGAGTGTGTGAGAGGGGAGTGGGGCAGCTGGGGGAGGTTGTGTGAAGGTAGCTGTCGTGTCGCCTGCAGCGCCTGTAGTCCGTCGCCCTTGCTTCGGTAGCCAGTGAGCCTGTTGCACCAGTCGCCAGTGGGTCCGTTGCTCCTGCCGCTCGTCTATAGCCGCGGAGCCAGTCACTCCAGTAGTCCGTCGCCCTTGCTTCGGTAGCCACTGAGTCAGCCGCTCCTGTGCCCGTGCCTCTGCAGCTTCAGTCGTTGCCTCGCATCTTCTCTTCCTCCACAGTCTCTCCTCCTCATTTGCCCTCTCTGTCTGCTGCGCTCTGCTTGGTGTACCCCTTCCGGGGGTGTTTCTGCACATGGTTCTTCACTGCAGGCAGTTAGGGGGTGTGTCAGAATATTATTGTATACATCACTTTATAACTGCCTGCAATGTAGACTTAGTGCAGTTATCTTGCTTGTTAGGTGGTGCACCTTGCTTCTCTTCTTTCATATTTGTACCCTTGAACCTATAGTGAAACCCTCATTCTCCTTTACAATTTTCTCGACACTCTCCTCACCCTCGAACTTAACTACCAAGGCTCCTAAGCTATGGCTCCCAAGCCCACCTAACTCTACCTACTACTTTCACAGTACCCACCCCTTTCCTGGTCCACACACACTTGTTCATTTTAACATGGTATTACGAGCCTAGGTTAGGAACCTAGGACCGCTTAGTCCTAAGGGCCCACCGTTCCGCTAGAAGCGCCCTCGTGCGCCCTACCTTCCTCGCACCCTCGTGCGCCTCTCTGCTAGTGCGCCCTCGCGCGCCCTCCCTCTCACGCTGCCCGTGCACAGCCCGCTAGCCGCCAGCGCGCGGCCCGTTTTTCGCGCGCACAGCCTGCTAGCCGCCCGCGCGCAGCCTGTTTCTCGTACGCGCGACCCGCTAGCCGCCCGCGCAGTCGACGCCGCCCGCGCGCAGCCCTCCTTGGCCTCGCGCGGCCCCTAGCACAGCCCGCGAGCTGCCCGTCGACCGGCCCTGCTAGCCGTCCCGCGCGCGGCCGCCTCGCGCTCGTAGGCCGCCGCCCGTACGTAGGTCGCCACCCACACGTAGGCCGCCGCCCGCACGTAGGCCGCCGCCTCGCACAGCCGCAAACCGCGCGCCGGCCGGCCCTGCTTGCCCGAGCCACGCCGCGCCG